TCCCAGGCAGCGGGGCGGAATCCCGGCTCTTCTCCAGCGGCCGCGCAGCCCGGGGCGGGGCCAGGGAGGGATGTGCTGCCCCCTCCGGGCCTTCCTCCCGGGGCCCTAGCGCGGCCCCTAATGTCTCCGCGTCTAGTCTGCGGCCCGGGCACCGCCCGATCCCGGCTGTCGCCACCACCTCCGGTCGCTCAGCTGCTTAGCTCCGATCTCCGCGCCCCATCTTGCTCAGTCTCCGTGCTCCCCCTAACGCTGGGGTCCTGTGCCCCCGCCCCCCGCTCTGCCCTAGCTTTCTTAGGTCGCCACCCACCGCCCCCAGCCCACTCAGGTCTTCACTCCAAGCCCTCTTGGGGCCGAGCACCTTCGCAGCCCCCTGAGGTCCAGGAAGCCACCCCCACCCACCCCGCTGCACGCTTGGATCCTGCATGGTGCCTGGGTCCACAGTGTGGACCTAACCCAACCTCACAGGTCACCTACTCGTTTCCTCATTTCTTGTGACACCACACCTCCCCTCCTTGAAGAGGTGAGAGTGGGCTCAGACACACCGCACGCACGAGCTGCCCACACCGGGAAAGGGCGGGGCACTTTGGGTGTGGCTTCTCCTCAAGAAAGGTGGTATGTGCCTGGAGACCCCTCACGCTCCCAGGGTGTCCAGGGCTGGTCTGTAGGGGAACCGCCGGCCACCTCTTTGTTCCGCTGGTCGGCCTGAGAGCGACGCTTAATTAACTACTGCACCGCCAGGCCGCCTTATCAAGAAGGCGCTATTACTTCATAAAAACTGGACACGTTAATAAAAAATCAGCCAAGAAAGCGCTGGGCTGGTGGCAGATGTCGTCTGGTTCTCCACCAGCCCGGTGGAGGAAGTGCCAGCCTTGGGCGGTCTGGGGGTCCCTGGCGAGCTGCGAACGGCTGCTGGTGGCCTGCAAAGGCCATCCTCACTGCTGGGCTGGGGACAAGCGCTGGCAGCACCAGGGACAGCAGCGGGGGTGCAGGTGGGGTGGGCGGTGTCTCCCAGAGTTCCTAAAGCCTCTCGCAGGTGGGCGTCGGAGTCCTACGCCTACCTCCCCACCCCCAGTGACTTTTCCCGGCGAGAGCAGGCCTTCCCCCACCGCCCCATTCCTGCAGGTGAGCAGGAAGGGAGAGGTCGGTGGGTGGAAGCTGGATCCCCATCCCCACCCTGGGCGCCAGTCCGGAGGGAGGGGATGCTGAGGACCTGAAGTCAGGCCCTCACTGTCCAGCCTTCTACTTTTTCCAAAGAAGCTAAAATCCAGGTTTCTGCGTGACATCGCATTCATTTTAAGCAAGGGCGAGGCAACTACGTTGAAACTTGCCCACACGGTGAAGAGTACACCCCGAATCCGGGCCCAGGGCAGGCGGCCGAGCGCTGGGCACAGGCCGCAGTGTCCTGTTCAGCCTTGTGGCCGCAGCCCTGAGTCGCGCCCAGCCTGGCTCCCCTCTGCGTAGTGGCATGGTCTCAAGGACTTGGCGCGGGGTGGGTAGGGCGAAACTCCTCTCTCCCTACCCCGAGCCGCGGGGACGCCCCTGAAGGCCCCCCGCCATCGGGGCCTTTCACGGCCTCGGGGCGGGCAAAGGTTTTGTGCGAGGTAAATGGAGCTGCAGCTGAAGGAGAGGCGGGAGGGAGCAGAGGCCTCAGCGGTGTGGGAACCCGAGGCGGCCTTCACTGGGGGAGGGGAGCCGCTTTTGTTGCGTTCCCATGGCGACCGGGACTGGGCGTCTCCTTTTCCTCCTTCCCTTCCCGCGGCCGAGGGCCTTCCGCTTGGCCTGCTCCGTTGTTCCCCCAGAATCCTGGCCTCCCCCAGGGTGTGCCCCGTGAGGCCGCCCGCAAAAACCCCATGTCCGCTGGACACTGAGGCGGGGTTGATAGCAAGCACTGAGGGGAAGCTGGTTGGAGATGGGGGGTTTATGAAAACCCGCCCACCGGAAGGTTGGACAGCCAGGGCCCCGCGGGTGGGGTGGCAAGGGACACCCAGGACCGACAGTCACTTGGGGAACCCCACCGGAGAAACCAGGGGGCTGGGTGGAGGGGTGAGTGCTGGGGATGGGGAGGCCTCCCCTCAGAGAAGGGGTAGGCAGATGACCCAGGCAGGAGGATGCCCCCCCTCCCCTGCCTAGAGCCTCCCTCCTCAGCAGGGAGCCCTGCCCCTCCTCCCTCCACCCCTTCTTTCACACAGCTGGGCCCACAGGGTACTGCATTCAAAATCATTCACAGTGGTGAATGTGAATGATTTCCTACCCTAGCAGGGCCAGGGGTAGCTGAAGGGGTGGGGTCGGGGTAGGCCTGTTGGCATCTTGCCCATGCTGGTGTGTCCCCACCCACCCATCCACACCCAGCTCCTGGCCCTGCTCAGGCCTATGAAGGCACAGACCCAAGTCCCAGGCTTGACAGTCCTGCCGGGGGAGGTGGGAGCCCAGCCTCCCAGGTGTGGGGCTGTTGGACCTCCAAGCCTGGAGGGAAAGATGGCTTCTTCCCAGCCCCTTCTTGTTCCACTTCTCCTACTTACTGGCTGCAGTGAGTGGGGAGCAGGTAAAAGTGGCTGCAGGGGTGCAGCCTGGAAGCGAGACCTCCTGGTTCCCAGCCCCCCTCCATCTGCAGCTCAGCACCCCAGATTGGGTGCCCGTGGTCTGTCCCCCATCCCAGCACCCCATGGTCTGCACTGCCAGGCAAAGGAATGGGCCCTATTTGGATTTCCTTGACCACCTGGTCTAGGGGGTTGGGGGAGCACTCACACAGGTTCTATGGGATTTGAAAGGGTGCCTCCTTCAGGAGAGGGTCATACCCAGCAGGGTGGGGGTGGGGATGAATGTTGAGCCTTTGGGCTGTGTAAGGCCCAACACCAGTTAAGCTCACCCACCTCCCCAAAGAGAAGCAGTTCCAGTCCCCACATAAAGACCAAAGAAAAACCCACTGCTATCAAGCCGATTCCAAATTACAGTGACCCTACCCTGTAAGACCCTACAAAACTGCTCCTTGGAGCTTTTGAGACAACTGTTTAAGGGAGTAGAAAGCCCTGTCTTTCTCCTTTGGATGGCTGGTGGTTTTGAACTGCTGACCTTACAGTTAGCAGCCCTTCAGGAAACACTCCACCACCAGTGCTCCTACTTTAGGACAGGAGTTCATTAAATGCTTGACCTTGACAGTTATGGCCCACAAAACGATGGTTAAATATCCAAATAGTCCCTGGCCTAACCTTTCAAGAAACCTCCCTGCCCCCAGCCAGTGACAGGCCCATGGAAGGCACAGGCCTGGGCTGCCCACCACCAGTGTTCCTGACGATTCTAGAGTTGTCTCTGAGCACTTGGATCGAGCCGTACCTGAAGCTGTCAAGCTTCGCCTTTCTGCTTGGGCTAGGCTTCTCAGAGCAGAGTGGAGGCACACCCTGCCCCCACCACCTCCCCAGGCCACGTCTGTCTTTTCTGCTGGCCGCTCTGTCCCCAGTGTCCAGAATGTGCTGGATGAGGATGGCTGAAACCCTATACCCTGAGGGGTGTACTGTTGGTGCCGTCTACTGCATCTATACCCCATGATGCCAGGCACACGTGTGCCATGAGTGTATACCTGCTATCTATGCACCACCGTGTATACACATGTGCCATTCATGTGCCTCTGCTGTCTATACACCAGTGTGTACACATGTGCCATACATGTACCTCTGCTGTCTATACCTCATAGTATACACACAGCTGCCATGCATGTGCCTGTGCCTATACACCATGGTGTCTATATACCATGGTGTGTACCCTTGTGCCATGTGTGTACTTCTGCTGTGTCTATGCACCAGTGTGCACACATGTGCCATGTTTGTGCATCTGCTCTATATACACCATGTTGTGCACATGCGTGTGCCTGTTGTGGCTATACACCATGGTGTGCACATGTGCTATACATGTGCATCTCCTCTATCTATACACCAGTGTGCACACGTGTGCCATGTGTGTGCTGCCACTGTCTTAGCTGTTTCATGGCTCACACCAGGAACTCACCTAGTCAGGCTCACCCACCACTCACTATGCGTCCCAAGCTGCGGTCACGTCCACATCCTCAGATAGCACAGGAGAGGCCAGTATGGGGAGGGGGACAAGTGGTCAGCCAGGCTCCTGGTACAGCTGGTGCTGAGAACCTCAGTGTCCTAGGAGTGATCTCAGACTCCTCTGTCCACGTTCCCTGCCCCCACCTCTTCTGTCCCAGCTCACAGGCCACGTAGCCCAGGCCTTTCGCCCCATCTCCCACCCAGGCTGCAACAAGGCTCCGCTTCCCCTGGGGCTGGAGGCCCCTGGCCCTGCACCACCCTCTGCCTCACACCTCCGTCCTCCAACTGTCCCTGCACGGGTGTGTCTGCCTCCCATGCCTGATGTCCACCCCACCACACAGCAGGTCCCCTCCTCCAGGGATGCTTGCAGCCACTGAGTCCACCCACCCCAAGGGCCTGTCCCCTCCACCCCTCACCAAACACCTGCTGAGCCGGTACAACTGCCTCTGGGACCTGGAGTGGAGGCTGAGCAAACACACCTTTCAGGTTCTGGGAGCTGCTGGGGAGGTAGCAGGTGGGGGCCAGTGAGGGTGACCTCAGATGGCCACCCAACACTCTGCCAGGTCAGTGACCAGCAAATCCCCAGCCTGTGGGGTCCCGCAGGGTGTGACGGCAGCAGGGACTCCCTAAACGTCTCCCCCACCCAGGAAGTCCCACCCCCACCTCAGACACACACACTCTCTCACTCACTGCCATTGATTGGATTCAATGACTCCATGGGAAAGCAAAGATGGGGATTCCCAGACTGTAAGTCTTTATAGGAGCAGAGAGTCTTGTTTTCTGCCGTGGAGCAGGGTGCAAACACTGCTGATGCTGACCCTGCTCCGGGTGTTCTGACCACCAGGTGGCGCCGGCCAGGCAGCAGGATCCTGCCTGCCCACCAGGCCAGGAGGCAGCCAGCAGGGAAGGCCTCTGACTCAGGCCAGCATCAAGTCAGCCTCCTCATCCCTGCCCCCCTTCCACCCCACAGACTACTCTGTTCCAGGATGGAGGTCTAGCTGAGCCCACTCCACACCCCAGGCCTGGACACTGTAGACAGGAGCAGATGCCCAAGTCTACAGGAACGAGGGCCGCCCCAGAACTGATATACACACACTCCCCACCCCCCACCCCCTGGATGGACCCAGCCAAGCAGCAGAATGAAAAAGATCACTGTATTTGATTTACAATGAACACAATTTACAAAAGGGGGAGGAGGGGGTCTGGGGAGGACCACCTGTCTGACAGGCCAGAGACCTTGCCGGCTGGGGTCCCCTGGCCGCTTGGCTTTGACGTCTAACGTCCAGCTTGACCTTTGAGGCGGGGCCTGGGCGGCTGCTCCCTGGGTCAGCGGCACCCGCAGGGAAGGCCAGTGAGGTCAGGAAGGCATCGTACCGCTTGTTAGACTCATCACGGGAACACACGGACGGGCAGAGTCCAGGGCCCCCCAAACTTGAAGTGGTGTGGCTGGCCTGCCAGGAGGCTGGGCGGCAGCTGGGCGCCCGCTGTAGCCCATCGGGTGCCAGGCGCTTAAGGCACGTTTGGGAATAGCTCAGGTGACTGGAGGCCAGGCCTGACGCTGGTTCCGGAGGGAGCTGGTGCTGGCGGGCCGAGGGCCACTCTCTCTCTCGAGAGGGGTGGCTCACAAGAAAGACGCTGCAGAGTCCGTACACGCCTGGGCCCGTGGCGCCGGCGGGCTCATCCTCTACCGGTAGGCACACAGACAGAGGCCGAGACGCTGACCACTGAGGCCCTGTGCTGTGGCAGGCTGAAGTCAGAGGTCGGAGGTTGGAGGTCAGAGGTCCGTGACCTTGTTCTCGAGGGCAGCAGTGATCTGCTGCAGGCGGAAGGCCAGCTGCATCTTCTGGGCGGCAGGGTCGTCCTCCAGGGCTTTGATGATCTGAGGGTGGTCAGCAGGGTGAGCACTGGTGTGTGGCTACCCAGGGCCCCCTGCCCCTGGGGACTGGGGTGTGCCTACCTCATCGTAGTACTTCTGTGTGTACTGGTAGAGCTGGTGCAGGGCCACCAGAGTGTTGAGAGAGTCCGTGTGAGCCTGAGGGGCAGGCAGGGGTGAGTTCAGTCTGAGCCAGGACAGTGGGTGGGCAGGGGGCGGGGCAGAGCCTGGGCAGAGGCAGTGGGATGCCAGCCACTGTAGCACTGACATCCAGCTCTGGGGGAGCTGTCCTTTAAGGGTGCAGGTGGGCTATGTATGACATGGTGGCTGTGGGCACATTCAGACACAAAGGGCCAGGCACTCACCAGCCCCCAGCCCCAGACTGGTATGGCGGGCAGTCCCAGAATGGGATGAAGGACAAATGGCTGAGGTCCACAGCCACCCCACATGCCCAGACAGACTCGGTTGTCTCTGTCTTTCCAGCGGATGCTCAGGTGTGGATGGACAGCATGGCTTAGCACTGGGCGCCCCGCAGGGCACCCACTCAACACACTCACCCAGAGCAGCCTGCTGCCAGCCAGCCACATACTCCTTGGCTCTACCCCTGGCACCCAGCAGTTTCATTCACACCCTGTCCCCCAGGGGAGGGTATAGGCCACTAGTCAACCAGGAGCTTGCCCTCGCCCACCTTACCCGAGAGATCTCTGCCAAGTGTGTGTTCATGTCCTGGTCGCTGACTTGCACCATCTGGCGGATGCCTTTGTAGTAACTGTGGGGAGATGAGTGGTGAGAGGGGGGGAGGGACAGGGGCAGGGGTGGGGTACAAGACGGGCAGGGCACTGGCACTCACTCCTCCACCATCTTCTTGTAGGTGGAGATCTCCTTGGCATAGAGCAGCTTGTTGCTGGGGGAGTCCTGCGGGGAGAGGCAGCCGCATGACATCAGGGATGGCGCTACCACACCACGCGATGGGAGCTCCAGGCTGGGCGCTAGTCTGTGCTCACTATCTGCTCCCCACAGGCCCCCACCCCAAATCAGGCTGCCTGTCCACCAGCCTACGGCAGAGGCCCTACAGGCCTAACATGTATTGTCTTCCCCTGTGTAGAGCTGTTGGGGGGGGGGGGTGATGCCACAGGGCCCACGGAGGGAGGGGAGGGGATCTCAAGCCGCCCAGGGGCTGTCAGTGGCTCAACAACTCTCCAAGGATCCCTGGCGTGGACTAAAACTGACCTTATGCCCCACACGACACCCCGTCTGCCCTCCATGCCTACCCTGAACCCATCCCTGCCCGTCAGCGCCCCTCCCGTGCCCGCGCCCGCACCCGGCTCAGCTTGTGCTCGGTGCGTGTGCAGGCGTCCATGAAGGTCTGGGCGATGACCGACAGCGAGGCATCCACCACCTCGTGCACGTGCACGTCGAAGATGAAGTGGGGGTTCTTGAGGATGTTCACCCAGAACCTGAGGGGCAAACTGGGGCGGCGACAGGGTGGCAGTCAGTGGGCACCGGCCTGTGTGTGGCGGCTGGGGCCGGGCCGAGGACGGGCAGGCAAGCGCACCTGTTGGTCTTCCAGATGTGGATGGTGTCGTCGTCCCGGATGTCGTACTTCTCCGCCTGCTCATCCAGGAAGTCAAAGAAGTACTTGACCGCAGGGGGCACCGCGTGGCTGGGCGCCAGCACGCTCTGGAAAAAGTTGTCCACGAACTGCTGCAGCGTGCCCTGCGCGGCGGAGGTGGGGAGGAGGGGTGGTGGTCAGGTGTGTGCAGGCAGCAGGCACCCAGGCCCCTACCACCAGCCGCTGTGCGTGCGTGTGCGTGCGTGCGCGTGCGCGCGCACCTTGACGGAGAGCAGCCGAGTCAGGTAGATCTCCGTGATGGCCTTGGTGCGCTCCTTCTCCTTCACGCTGCCCCGCTTGGGCTTACCCTCGTCCACCTCGTCGGTGGGACGCACCAGGTGCCAGACTCGGTTCTCTTCCTCCAAGAGTGCGTGGCCTGTGGGGAGGGGGAGGGGCTGCTGAAGACCCAAGAGGCTCCACCCCCACACTCCCCCACTGGAAGCAGAGACCCCCGAGAGAGGAGAACTCACGTTCCCCAGGCAAGTCCTGCTGGCTGTCCTCGGGCTGCTGGGAAACGCCCACCTTGGACAGGATCAGCGTGGCGCCGTCCCGCACCTGGGAGACAGGGTGGTGGGGTGGGTGGGTGGGTATCCATCCCCAGTCCCGCCATCCACCCCTGCGCTGCTGCTGGACTCACGTTGTAGTGCATGAGCGTGTTGATCCGCTTCCAACGGCCGTCCCGCTGGGAGGTCAGGTCCAGGTCGGACAAGGTCTGCGCCGTGGACCCGGGACGCCACTCTGCAGGGCACAGGTCAGCTTGCTCAAGCCCAGGCGGGGGTTGAGGGAGACTCTCCCCCGCCCCCTCCTGGGCACCTGTGTGCAGCCTGCCCACGAGCTTGCTCACCCAGGACCACACTCTCGGCCTTGGGCCAGCGCGAGCAGGGTTGAGTGCGGTACACCTGGTCGATGATCTTCTCTTTCACCTGGGTGATGGTGTCACAGTTGAGGACTTTGACAGGAACGGCATCGGCCCCTTCATCCTGGACGATCACATTCACCGTCTGCAGGGGACACGGCGGTCACCACCCAAGCCTGAGCTTGTGGGGTCTCAGGGCAACTGGCTGTGGGGTTGAGGCGACCGTGGAGAGACACGTCTTAACACGTGTCACTCATGCCCGCCAAGGGTCTGTCCCCTTCCACAGGAACAAGGACCACAAGGGAGGGAGCGTGCTGTCTGGCTCACCTGGGGCCCAATACCAAGCCTGGACAGCAAGCCCACCCACAGGCCCCAGCACCTGCAGCTCGAGCTCTGTAACACCAGCACCCCGCCCCCACCCCCAAGCCTGCCCAAGCTCACCAGGGGCGCATACTCCACGTCGTCCCCCAGCAGCCCTGTGTCGTTGAGCGTGTACTTGGCCTTCTTCTGCACGGCGTCCACCGGCCCTTTCTCCACCTGATGCTTGATAGCCTTGAAGAGCTTGTATAGGGGCTCGCCAGCACTCTCCTGGGGGGGGGGGTGCGGGGGCACGGGCAGTCAAGTCTGGGCGTGACCTGGGCTGGCAAAGTTGGGGATGTGCAGGAGGTCTGGCTAGGTGCAGCACCCGTGGGTCTACTGTAGGAGGGGGTGAGGAGGGGGCTGGGACCCACCTTAAGATACTGGTACAGGCAGATGGACATCCAATTGGATAGCATCCTTTCTACCACCGTCTCCGACCTGCAGGTGCAGACAGACCAGTAGCAAGGGTCCCTCACAGTGTGAGGCCCAGATGCCCCCAGCCCCCATGGCCACCCCAGCTGGGCGCAGGCCCCCTGCCAGGACGCACGGGTGTTGGCCGCAGCCATGGAGCGCCTGGGGTGCAAACATGCCCATACACGCTGTTGGCTTCTACCCTGTCCCAATGGCCATGTGACTGGCAAGGAAGTCCAAGGCCGCCAGGGGAGCCAGGTGGACACCCTGGGACCCTCCCAGCCGGCCCAGGCTGCCCCCGCACCTGCGCAGCATGAGCTTGGGGTTCTTGGCCACGACGTACTGCCCCATGAGCTCCAGGAAGAGGGTACGCAGGATGTCCGTGTAGTATTCCAGCTTGCCGTGCAGGGCCACCGTCAGCAGTGATGCGAAGTAGACCTTGGCGCGTGCTGAGAACTCCCGCTGCTTCTCCAGAGTGTGGATGAACTGCAGGGGTGGGGCAAGTCAGGACGCCCTGGCCAGGCGGGGCCCCAGGGTGCTCCCCAGCCCTGTGCCTGGCCCAGCGGTGGCTCACGTTGATGAGGAAGGACTTGCTGTTGAGCAGGTTGGAGAACTGGTAGAGGGCCTGCTCCACAGTGGGCCGCCGGGAGGCAGGGATGTCTAGCTTGCCCGTGATCATCACGTCCTTGTCGCCGTCCTTGGACGGCAGGAAGAAGACGCGGTCCGTGTAGGTCTTATAGTCCAGCACGGGGATGCCGGCCTCGTGGACATCGTTGGTCTGGTCCTCCATCTCGATCATGAGGTCTGCCGGCCGAAGGGTGGGCGGGCAGGGTGAGGGGAGACCCGGTCCGTTCCACGGAGTGGCCTGCCCCCCCAGTGGCCCCCGTCCCCCCTACCAGTGAACTCCTTCTTGCAGCGGTCACGCACGCTCTCCTCCAGACCCTCCAGCTGGGACTTAATCTTCTCATATTCACGCTCGGCCTGCTGGCTCTTCCTCCTGGGGGGGGCACAGGACACCCAGGTCCAGGTTGGGGGGGCTGGTTCCCGAAGGAGCCCGCGGAGGTGGGGGAGGGGCAGGGGCTGACCAGTAGCAGCAGACGGAGACCACGATGATGACCACCATGGGCACGATGACCAGTGGCAGGATGAGGCCCAGTCTGAGGGCCACGTCGCTGACCCGAGTGTCGTACTCCACGCGGCCCAACACCCACTCTCGAGAGCCGAACTTGACCTGCGAAGGGGGACCCGTCAACAAGGGTGGGTGCTGCCTCGCTACCCTTCCCCCTCGGCGGCGCCCCCGCACGCACGATGAACTCAGGTAGGTTGTGAGTGGTGTCCCGCTTCTGCCGCCGCTTGGGCGGGGGCTGCACCTCCGGGGGCTCGCAGTACAGGTCGGTCTCGGTCAGCGTCTTCATGATGCAACGCTCGGCACCCACAAAAGCCTCCGCCTCCTGCAGCGTCATTGCCTTGTTCAAGTTGGTGCCCTGTGGGTGGACGGCGGGGAGGGACCACATCAGGGGGGCCACCGGGAGCCGGAGGCCTAGACTGGTTCAGCCTGGCACCCTCCCCTGTCCTTCTCCAGTGGGACCCTGGTGCCCCGCCCCTAGTTCGTCCTCCTCAGGTCAGGATGTATGCCCCCCGTCCTCCCCAGGAGAAAGCCTGGCTCCGTGACCTGCACAGGGCCCGGCCCAGCCTCACCTGAGCATGGATGAGCTTGTTGACCTGCTTCTTCACGCCATCAGTGAAGTTCTCGAAGGTGGGGTCAGCCACATACTCAAAGGTGCCAGCCTCGGTCCGAAGTGGCATGCTGTGCCCGTCCATCTCGACCAGCACTGTGAGGTTGTAGGCCTCGGGCTCTTCAGGGACGGCCGGGGACAGGAAGACTACCTTGCTGTCGCTGTGGTACACATAGTCGGTGCCCAGGAGCTGCGGGGAGGCCACTGTCATGCTCACTTGGCCAGAGCTGGCACAACCCATCCCCCAGAGCTGAGCACCCAGCGGGCACCCACCTTCACGGGCTGCAGGGGCCCTGTCTCCCGCCGGCGCCGCCAGGACTGCAGGGGCTCTGCTATGACCACCATGGCAAATTTCTGCACCAGGCCAAAGCCCTGCCCAGTGATGTTGATGCTCCGGCCGCCACTAGGGGGGGAAGGGCTTTGAGTGGAAGAAGGGGAAGGGTGGCAGGAGAGCCTGCCTGTGGCTGGTCTTAGGGACAGTGAACCTGGGCCAGTGGGGATTCCCTGTGCCCAACCCACCCTCTGCACCACATCTCTGGCCAGCTGAGTCAGCACAGGGAGCAGAGGGAATAGTCCAGGGGTCATGGAGGGAGGTGGGAACAACACACAGGGAGCAGAGGTGGCCCCAGGGGTCATGAGAAACACGTGGAGACACACCTGACAAAGCTGCGTGTGGGCTCAAAGGCGCGCAGTACTGGGTTCTCCCGGTATGTGAAGACGACATTGGGGCTGGGAACAGGTAAGCCCCCATAGAACACCTCCAGGTTTGCTTCGCCCACCTGCTGCCGGGGGCCCGTGAAGCACTCCAGTTCTGGCCCAAACTTCGTCCTGGGGGGACAGGGGCTTCAGTGTCTTTTCACCCCTGACCCCACCTCTCCCAGGACCCTCCCCCAGGGCCACTCACACGTGACAGGGGACTTTATCGAGGGTCACACGCACGTCCTCTATAGAGCCTGTGTCCAGGTGGGTGCCGGTGATGGTCAGCAGGGTGCCACCCGCCTGGGGCCCCTGGTCTGGTTGCACACGGTCAGGCTGTGGCTGCTGAGAGGGAAATGGGCACCAGGTCAAAGCCCAGGGGCCACCTCGGGCCCCAGCTGCCACCTGGCCCCAAGCAGAACCCCGATCCTGATGCAGGAAGGCACTGCCAGGCCGAGAGCAGTTACCTGGTAGGTGAACTGGACATGGGGCGGAGAGCGGCCCAGCTTCCCACGGACATCCACCTCCACTCCACCTGTGGAGGGGCCCTCCGAAGCCTCCGTCACACACGTGATCCTGAGGGGTGACGGGCACCATGCACCATAGCCCCGATGCCCTCACTCCCGTCTGTCCCCGGGGGACCACAGCCCCTCCCCACGCGTCTGCCCGTCCACCCTGGCACGGTGTGCGTCACAATGAAACAGTGGCAGCTGTGCAGGCTGAAGCCACCCCGCCCACCTGTCTCCCAGGGGAGGAAACAGCAGGAGGCCAGGTGCTCACCGGGTAGATACGGAGTACCGTTCTGGCTCGAAGGTGCAGTGATGGCCAGCCACGGTCACTCTCTGAACATCATCTGCCTTGATGCCCAAGTTTGACCCGAAGATGGTGACGCGGACGCCCCCTCCCAGCGGGCCCGTCTGCGGTTCAATCTGAAATCAACAGTCCACTGAATGGCTGGCTACAGCACGACAGACAGGTGGGCAGGACAGAGGAGTATGCAGCAGGCTTACCCTGGTGATGACGGGAGGTGGGCACTCTGAGGTGGCATTGCTGCACAGCGCCTCGTACACACACTTGCCCTGCCCGCCACACCACACACACTTGTAGGCGGGGTCTGCAGCCAAGCACAGGCTACAGTCGCTTCGGCCAAAGGAGCAGTTGTACAGGGTCACTGGGGAGCGGGGAGCACAGGTCAGTGCACTGGCCCTCCACATCCACAGCCCAGCCTGTGCCGCTACCCACAGCTACCCCCACCCCCACTCCCCCACCCCCGCCTGTGCTACCTTGCAGTCGACTGTCGATGTTCTTGCCGTAGGACTTGACATACAGGTGCAGGGGCAGCGTCTCGTTGCCATCATGGGACAGCTGGGGACACACACACACACACACACTGCGCTCATGGCCCCCACTCTGGGTACCAAGCCCAGGCAGCAGACATGAGCCCCATAGAAGGGCCCAGACCCACGGTGTGCAGTGGGCTGGGCAGGCTGGAGTTGGAGGGGGTCTAGGACAGGACCATAGTGCACTGCTGTGCCTGCGCAGACGCTCAGGGCTGCCAGGACAGGAGGTGGCCCCTGTGTGCAGCTCAGGCACATACCTTTGGGGTGCGGAAGGAGAAGGCTCCTGTATCCTGCATGGTCACCAGCTCCTTGAACTGCAGCAGGTCGCTCCCCACATACAGGGAGGTGCTCTGTGGGGACAGCAGGGGCTTAGGCTCCCTCCTGCACCCACCTGCCTCTCTGCCCACTACATGATCTGGGATGAACACACCCCATGTTGTGTCTCCAGGTATCCCCACGTGAACATCCCAGGGCTCCCTGCAGACCCAAACCCAACACTTGGCCCACCCACGCCCCCTGCCGCCCCCCGCCCCCCGCCCCCCCCATCTCTGGCCTTGGCTTGCACCAAGGCCCCTGAGGTACGTCCTTCTGGCAACTGCCTGCCCACCCCATCCTCGTGCCCCCACTCTCCCACTCCCTTTGTGCCCAGCAGACAGACTCCACGGCACCCTGCCACCCACCTTGACGGTCTCCAGGTTCTTGCCCTGGAAGGTCACCTCCGTCTCGTGGTTCATGGGGATGACCAGGGGCCTGGGGTCCAAGAATTGGGGGCAGTTCTCCTCCTGGGGACAGGGAGGCCAGTCAGGTCAGCGGCTGCCAGGGCAGTCAAGCAGCTGGCCACACCTTGGGTCCATGCTTACCGTGTGAGCTCGGACGATGCCCTTCTCGGGGTTGGGGGAGGCCTCCCGACACTCATGATACAGCAGGTCCCACTGGCAGGTCCAGTGGTTGCTGGCACAGGAGATGCACCTGTGGCCAGGCAGGAGTGTGAGAGGGCTGGGCCGGGCAGATGGGCAAGGGGTGTAATGTGAGGAGGCTGGGGCTGGCAGGCAGGGGTGTGAGAGGGCTGGGCTGGACAGGAATGGATGGCAGGCGGGCAGGGGTGTGAGGGGGCTAGGCCAGGCATAAAGGGATGGCAGGCGGGCAGGGATGTAATGGTGGCTGGCCAGGATCCACTCACGGCAGGTTCTCCACCAGGTGCATGGCCTCGCGGCAGTCATAGAAAGGGTACAGGTGGGAGGTGAGGAAGACATCTCCCTGACGGAAGAGGAGCTGGATGCTTACGGTCACATGGTCTGTGGACAGCACAGGACACTGAGTGCGCAGGACATGCCCCCTCTCCCATCTGCCTCAGTGGTCTGTTGGCACAGTGACCTCTATCAAGAGTGGTGTGCCCCTCATTCTCCCTCTGAACCTGTGAGTCCCCTGTCCGCTCTGGTACCCACCTCTGCCAGCCAGCATCTCTTCTTCCCTGCTGCCCCTAGCCCTCGTTCCACCCCCACCAGCTATTACCCCAGCTGTCATTCCATGCCCCTCCCCCCATTCAATCCCTCCACCAGCTGTAACCCACCCCCTACCAACTCTCATTCCATCGCCCCACCCCCACCAGCTATAACCCGACTGTATCAGATCTGGGCCCTCTGCCCACCCCTCCTGCTATCAGATCTGGGGGCCCCAGGGTGAGGCTCTCATTTCTCCCCAGAGCTCTGTGGCGGCAGAGCCTCTCTGCCCCCACTCTGTCCTCACAGGCACAAAGGGCAGCGGCTCCTATGTGTCTGGGCCACAGGCCTCTGCTCTCGTCATTGCAAGACCCTGCCCTGCCTCCCCTGGCCCACATTCAGGCCTCCTGAGAGGGCCCTGCTACCCCAGGCCATCGGGAGAGGGGGCTGTACTGGGCAGAGCAGCAACACACACACACTCTGCACTGTGAAGCCGGCTGAGCCCCCACCCCCCGTTGACCCCCCCACTCCCCACCCCTCACCCTGGCCAGGCGGCGTGCTAGGAATGATGCTGGGAGAGTTGCAACGGACGGTGTTGCCTGCTACGCGGGCCGAGTGCGGCGGTGAGTCCCCAAAGAGGCAGAGCAGCTCATCGTCCTCTGTCAGGGTGGGGAGGGGACTGACCTCCAGCTGCACCTGGTGGGGCCGGGAGGAAAGGACTCCTCTGTACCCCAGTAACTCTGAGGATGAGGCCTGGGCAGTCATAGGGAGGGGCCACAGCATGGGTCATGGGCCACACTCAGGCCCCGCCCAGGGCCCACTTGCCCCGGGCTCTGTGTACACGCCCGCCCGGGGCCTTGCATACCTCCCCCTGAGCTCGTCTGCTCATGTTCTGCGGCTGGGCGCTGGTGACAGTCACACAGGAGTTGTCTCGGCTCCACAGCCAGTGGCCGGCCTCATGGGCCCTAGGGCACTGGGCCTTCCTGGTGCATCTGGCGGGTGGTGGGTGGGGAAGCAGCGACAACCTTAGCCTGGCAGGGGGGTCTTGTTTTCCCCAGAACCTGAAGGCAGGTCCTACTCCCTCCGAGGGTCCCAGCAGGCGTGCCCGGGCAGGGCTGTGCCTGAAGGCAGGTGTGCTACCTTGGGGTCGCAGTGGGCGTGACTAGGCAGGGCCTTTGGGCACTCACCTTCCCTCAACAACGCACCAGCCGCAGTAAGGATCCTGAGAGTCTCGGCACTGAGCACAGGTAGGGTAGCTCTGGCACTCCTGCACCGGGAGCCGGAACACCTGGGGGCCGGACCCAGAGGGATAGCGTGACTGCCAGGCCACAGCACCCTCCCCATGCCCCCATGCCTTCTGCCCCACCCGGCACACCCCCAGGAAGCCGGGCACCTGGCCTGCCTCGGCCCCCTCGAGGAGTTACTGTGGGAGGGGCAGGCCCTGGAGCTGCCCAGTGTCCCACCCCCACCCCCTAAGGACACCCACGCACCCTTCCCTTCCTGAGAGCAAGGCAGGGGAAGTGCCAGTGACACACAGTGACACACCAGGGCAGACAGAACTGCAGACACCGCCCAGGGGGTCCTCCACCCTTGGCCCCTGCCTACCTTGTCCTGTGTCAAGGCGTACAGGCTGGCCAGGTCGGCTGATAACACCAGGTCCTGCTTCAGCCGCTTATTGATCTCTACGGGGATGGAGCCGTACTCCACGGTGGTGTGGTTTGGGGCCAGGTACACCTGCGTGAGGTAGGGTCTAAGCCTCACGGCTGTGGCAGACTGTTCCCCCTGCCCCCACCCCCCAGCCTGGATGCAGCCTCACCTTAAGGACCCTGCCATCCGAGGTGCCCAGGAAGGCAATGGTGTGGCCCTCCTCTGTGGTCACAGTCACCGCAGTCAGGTTCAAGCCGCCTCGCTGCAGCACGGCCGTGGCCACGAGCCCTTCGCGGCAGCCCAGTGGGTAGGGCAGGTGCTCTGAGCCACAGGGGAAGTTCTCACTGGCCCCCTGCATACCAGGCATCAATAGCCGTTAGACCTCCACGCCCCCATTCACGGACCCTGGACACATGATGTCACCACCCTCCAAGCTCACAGGGACCCCACACCAGAGGGGGACACGGACAGCACACCTACATCCACAGGTGCACATGCACTCCCAGACTCTGCCCACAGAGCACATGGAACTGGACAGGTGCACACACATACAAGAAGACACACATATGTATACGCCCAGGCATGACATGCAGACAACATGGGGCCAGGCACACAGAGCACAGCACACAGAGCCAGACATGTACATGCACTCCCACAGGTGCACTGACTCCCGGGCTGGGTACACAGAGCACACGGGAGCTGGACACAGCTGCAGACACACGCCCAACCCAGACACAAGCATGCTCCCAGGCCTGACACACACAGCACACAGGGGACCAGACAGGCGCACATGGACACACGAGTGCACACGCACACCCCTGCAAGGCGCAGACTCCCAGGAGTGGCAAGGAGCCCCTACCGGGGCATGGCCTCCGCACTGGATCTCGCCATGGAAGGCCTTGTAGAAGGTATTGCGGCCTGCCTCCCGGGAGCCTACGTAGCAGGCCTTGCGGTTGGCCTCCATCTTGGCGTGGATCTCATCCAGTGGGAAAAGGCAGAGGCTGGCCTGGAGCCCCCTGCCACCCCCGCTCCTGCTGAAGACGGCATACAGTGCCCTGCCTGGGTCCACAGAGGCCGCCAGGCAGGTCCCGACAGTGGGGGCCTGGGGATCACCAGGGTCCTGGCACTCCAGATCCATCTCCAGGTAGGAGTAGTAGAAGGGGTCGTCCTTGCACATGCGTGCCAGCAGCGTGCGGTTCCTGGCTGGGAGCTTGTCCTGCTGGCTGAAGACAAAGAAGACGTAGCGGCCATCCTCGAAGACGGCCACGAACTGCTGTGCGTTGGTGGACAGGTAGCCGGCCTTGTAAGTGGCGTGGTCTGTGTAGGCCTCAAAGGCCTCCCGCGTCTCTGTGCGGTCCAGCAGGCGCGTGCTGACGATGATGCCGTTGTCATGCGGCCCGTTGCCCTTGCCCACGAAGAGCACACGCTCGTGGCCACCAGGGACCGTGGCGCTTACCAGCCCCACGGTGGCCACAGTCTCGTCATTGCTGGCCACGAAGGACTTCTCTCCGCTGCTGTCTTCGTAGAAGAGGCGCGTGGAGATGTTGCTGAGTGCGCGCAGGGCACAGATGCCTTTGAAGAGGCTGCCGCACTCGACCACGCGGCCATTGGGCATGTCCAGCAGCAGCAGCTGGTTCACATTGTCGGTGAGCACGGCCTCGTGGCACTGGCTCTTCTCAATGGGTGGTGTGCACTTCTTATCATCCAGGGCTGGGCCCGTGGATACCTGCTGCACCAGCTGCAGGTCAGCAGTCAGCTGGTAGAGCATGTTCACTGCCCCCAGGTACACCCCGCCTGTGTTGGCGTCCACCACCACGTGGTTCAGATCTGTCTCGCTCTGGAAGAACTCATGCTTGCGGGCACGCAAGCCGAGGCCTGAGCTGGCCAGGCCTAGCAGGGCCAGGGCCCAGAGCCAGCGAGTCATTGCCCCGGTACCTGTGGGAGAGACAGACAGGTCAGGGACCTCTCCAGAACAGAGGGGAGCAAGGCCTGTGCTCACCCAGCAAGCCGCCGGCATACCTAGCCCACCACTCAAGTCCCTCCAGGACCCAGGGAAGTCTCCCAGGTACTTCCCATACCCCCACCCCCCCCACCCCCCACCCCCCCAAACCTGTGAATCTGTCTGTAGACACCTGTTCTATACCACACACACACACACACACACACCCAGGGCAAACCCACCCCACTGGCAGTAAGCAAGCCAACTTGCAGCACTGGCTCCAGGGTTTCTGAGGCTGCAGAGGACAGAGGACTAGTGGGTTTGGGGTGCCTCCTTTGCAGCCAGCATTTAGGGCAGCGGGAGGCCAAGGGGAGAACAGACAGCAGTGGGAGGGAGTGGGGACAGGGCCAGCACGAAGAGCACGCTCTCTTTATATCTGCCCAGAAGCTTCCATGAAGCACCTGCGTGTCTGTGGGTGACGGGACACAGGAGGGCAGGGTGAACTGCTGAGGCCTAAGCTAGGACAAGAGTCCCCCCAGCTGGAGGGGCAGAGAGGGTTGGTAGCTGTATGTAGGACCCCTTCCAACATAGCTTGCTTCCTCCCTCCACGGGGTACCAGGACCTCGGAGAGGCCCAGCAGCAAGCGGCCTGGAGGCTCATTCTGCCTCAAACTCTGAGAACACCCACCCAGACAGGGCACATCCCGGCGTCAGAGCCCCAGAGAAGCTTCCCATCTGCCTTCTCCCAGGGCCCAGAGAGCCCACTGGGATCTGCTGCTATGCTGCCCCAGGCCGGCTTGGCCCCCTCACAGGGGCCCAGAGCACGCCCAGTCACCAAATGCAAACACCGAGACAAGACAAGCCACAGCCATGGGAAGGTCATACCCGGATGTACCTGGCAGCCGCCCGCCCTGAGGGCCGGCCATGACCCCTCCCCCTGGACTTTCTCTCCAGAGCCCAAGACAATCTCCTGGCAGGGTCCCTGCCCTCATCCCTCTCCCCAGGGGAAACCAAGGCACTCACTGTGCAGACAGAGCTGCTGAACACTTAGCAACCCAACTCTACCTCACCCCAAGCCCACCTCCAGCCTGCCTCCTCCAGGAAGGCCCAGGGCTTTACTAGAGGCCAGGGGCGGAGTGGTGGCAGGCAGACACTGGCTGGTATTTGCCTATGGTCGGTCCTGTGACCTGCTTCCTTCTTTGCCAGCGGGACACTCTTGGTGCCCATCATCCCACCCCCACCGCCTGAATTCCATCTCAGTCCATCTGAGAAAGTATAACTATGAACAGAAAAGATCAAGGCAGAGCCTGGCAAGGGGCCAACTGCAGCGGCCAGCCTAGATGTGACCGTCGGCCTCAGACCAGGGAGGCAGCTGTCTGAAGCCCCTCAGGAAATCCCCACAGGTTGGACAGGCAGGTCCCTGCCCTCTGCACATGCCCCCTCCTACCCTGGGGGTGAGCTCAGAGTGGCCCAGCCCCAGCAATGCCCCACCGCCCCGCCCGCATCACCATGCCAAGACGGATGGGGAATATCCAGTAGGAGATACAGGAGGTACCTGGGAGCCAGACTGTCCTGTCCACCTGGAGGGAGGGCAGGGGCAGCAGAACCACCAGGGGTCACCGGGTAACTGTCTGGAGGGGCCTCACCAAGATGGAGTGAGGTTGGGCTTTCACAGCAGCCAGTGAGGGCCTGGGGGACGGGACCCTACCCACAACCCTCTCAGCTCAGCTGCCCAGGAGAGGAGGCAGCCCGACAGACCAGCTCTGAGGCCCTCAGCGACTGAGGTTCTGCAAGGCCAGCAGGGGAGGGGGCGGGGAAGAGGGCGGGCAACCGGCCTCGGGCCCTGGTCTGCCCCACCCATCCCAGGCTTCTCTGTTGGGGGCGGGTCCATGGCCTTGGCAGGCTCCAGGGGGCCCAAGTCCACCCGCAGGCGCCGCAGGGCAGGGCGGTTTCCAGAGCACCAGGCACCTCCAAGCCCCCAGCCCTGTGCCTCCGTGCGCTCACTTGAGTCCGGGTGTCGGTGCTGCCCGCCAGGCCGACTCCCCACGCCGGTCCCACCCCTACAGGCTGGAGAAGCTGGGCAGCGACCTGGTTCAGGCCCGCAGCGAGCTGGGAATGAATGGAATGTTACCCGCCGGGAGGAAGCGCGGGCGGGCCGGCGGGGGCTGCGGGGGGGAGAGGCGGGGCGAAGCGGCAGGAGCCAGAGCCGCCCCCACTATCCAGCCCGCGGTCCCCGCTGACCTCTCTCAAAAGTCGGGGGCCTGGGACTGGACCCCAGGGCCCTCAGGTCCCCATCTCCCTGCTTTTGGCGTTTCCCTCCCCCACCATGGGCGCCCACGCATCCCCCAAGGGCATCAGATGTGAGGAGCTCATCTCTACCCATCCCATTGCAAAGAGCTAGAGCAGCCCCTGACAACAGGGCCCAAACTCCCTACAGCACCCTAGATGGGGAGGGGGCCCTCCCTCTTAAGACCAGCCCCCAGCCCCACAGGGGTTTCTGTGCATAGAAGAGCCCTCCCCACCACGTTCAGCTTAACCAGCCCTGTCCGTCACCCACTGGACAAACAGGCGCCCAGTTAATATCTTTGTGCCCAAGGAGAGCTGAAATGCTGCCACAACACTGAGACACTGACCGTGGGGGCTGCCGGCCGACCTCACTGGGCTCCTAACCCTGCCTCCATGCTGGGCCTGGAGCCTTGACAGCTGCACCAGGGGCCAGAGCTGCACCCCACTTCCGGCACAGAACCCCCAGTTGACTTGCTGGCCAGCCTGGAGTTCAGAGCCACGGTTGCACACCTGGCCAAGGGACATAACAGTGTGGGAGGCGCCAGACCAGTCACTGGGGCTTCCTGCCACCCGTGTTCCTGGAATGGGCAGGCAGCGGGCACTTCCTGTTTTGAAGGCAGCCGGGACCCCCACTCCCCGGGGATTTCCTCAGGGGTATCAGACAGCTGCCTTCCTGACCGGAGGTCATGGCCAAGAGGCCACCCGCCCGACTGCCTGCCGCTGCCCTGGCAATTGTCTCGATGGGTGTCCCTCCCTGGATGCAAAAGAAACAGAGTGGGAGGCAGGGCTGCCTGATATACATCATCATCATCATCATCATCATCACCACCACCACCAACACCACCACCACCACCCCCCACCCCACCCCCCTGGCTCTGTAGCTTTAGGTGGCCCGAGGGTTAAGTGCTAAGCTGCCAAACCAGCTTCCAACCTGTCATTTCAGGATAAAAAAACAATTCCCACACTCACTGCTATTGCCCCAATTTCACCTCATAATGACCGTAAACAGGGTTTCCAAGGTTGTAAACTGGAAAAGAGCAGAAGCAGACAGCCTCAACTTTCACCAAGGAGCAGCTGTGTGGGTGGGGGGAGTTGAACCTCTGACTTTGTGGTTAGTAGCCCAAAGCTTATCCCAGCACTCCAGGGAATAGGAACCCCAGCAGAGTTTGCAACGAAGCCCTGAGGGATAGTTCTGTCACACAAAGGGCCTTGAGTTAGGTGTAAACCCCATAGCACTTAACAGGGGTGTCCAGACGCCACCTGGAGGGCACAGTGGCCCCCACTGCCTTCCAGCTGAGTCTGCCCCAGAGGCCAGGCCCCCAGCAGATAGGTGTACAATGGGTGGGAGGGCAGAGAGGGAGAGGTGTGGTCCGGACCCAGCTAGACGAGAGCATCCAGGCCACCACAAAGAGGCCAAGGGTGCCTGAGCAGCCCACTCACCCAGGCTCCTGTCTGGCTCAGGCTCGGCTGCCCCCTGCCACCAAGTTTTCTAGGAGGCAAAGGAGAGATGGGTCACACCCTTGGCCTGCCTGCTTCTCCCTCCTCCTAAAGGTGGACACCCTAGTCCTCAGAGCCCCACTTGGTCTCCACCTCCCTGGAGCAGGGGGTCCAGGCTGCTCTGTCCACTCATCTCTGGCCCCTGCGACCTCCTGGGGCACCGTGGGAAGGTCCCTCTGCTCTGTCACACCCCCTGGGAGGGGGACTGAGACAGCCTTTGATCCTTGCCATTTGGGAGTTTGCCAAGGACATCCATTTCTTTAATGAAAATAAAACATTCTTCCTGGGAAATGTGCAGACCCCAGCACCCCGACAGTTCTATATACTAGCTGTGTGACCTTGGGCAAGTTACTTAACTTCTCTGTGCCTCCTGGCCTCATCTGTGAAATGTAAATAGTAACAGTGAGCTATCCCCAAGGGCTTCTGTGAGGCCTAACTGGATTCATTCAGAAAAAGCCTTTCAAGTTCTGTTGCTACTCTGTAGCCTGAGCTAGTGCTGGCTACTGTATCTTATGTTGTATCTCTTCCCCCCTCCAGTGAACAGGGTTGTCAGTACAGAGGTGAGAGGAGGGGAAGAGGAGCTCCAGGATCCTGGTCTCCCTGTAGTCTGTTACCTGGAAACACTGGACCGCCTGTGTGCCCTTAAGAACTGTGGGATGCTGCCCCCAAAGAGACAGCAGGTGGCCCCTGGAGCTGCTGGGAAAAGCTGGGATGAGACGCTAGGTATCTATTTGTCTTGCTCTGTTTGTGAAAGGGGCCCCGGTGACCTAGTGGGCTACTCACGGGTTGTGCTGCTAATTGAAAGATCCACAGTTCAAACCTACCAGCTACTCTGGGAGAAAGACGGGGTTGCCTGCTCCCGCAAAGATTGCAGTGTTGGAAATACAAGGGAGCAGTTCTACTCTGTCCTACAGGGTTGCTGAGTTGGAATCGAATGGATGGCAGGGCCCAGGAAGGAGCCTGGTGGCACAGTTATTAAGCACTCGGCTGGCATGTAGAGGTGTGTAGTGGGAAGGGCCTGCAGCTCTGAGGAGGTCAGTCAAGGCACAGTGTAGGAACTGCCCACAGATATGTCTCTGGGAGTCGGGGGCACACACAACAGCATCTGCAGTGCACACCCCCACATTTAACTTCAGGAAAGATCTAGAAGCTTCCGATTCAAATAGAATGTTGAGTCAAGGAGGAGGGGGGTTGGCAACCAAACACTCTATCTTTTTCGTTTAAAGAATGGGAAAGAACATGTTATTCACCCTTGACTTGTCCCATAAACGTTAACAGAGGTACGTACAACAGCCATCGCTGGCCCTAAACCCAGTCATGCTGGTTCCCTATGCCCCAGCGAAGGGGCTCCAAGACCCGATTCGTGCCCCCCAGGTCTCCATCTAGGCCTCCAGCCCACATTCCTTGCCTGTGGCAGCCTTGCCCATTTGCCTGGGGACCAGCCCCAGCCTTCCATGGCCTGTGCCACCTGGGTCCTCAACCTGCTCTGTGCAGCTCACCTTCCTGATGGTCCCCACTGGCCTACAGAGCAGGACCTTCAAAGGCCCTAGGGGACAGCAAGCAGGGAAGGGTTAATCTGGTGGCGGTCACTGAGCTCCACAGCACCAGGCAGGCAGAGGGTGGGGCCAGGTGGGGTGGGGCATGACGGCACCCTTTAGCCCAGGAGTTTCAAGCAGCCTTTGTGAAGGGGACACCACTCTGGAGGGGTCCCTTCTGCCTCCCTTTCTGCCCAGCCACGCCCCAGCTGCCCCAGGCCCTAGGGGAGGAGGGAGGCTCATTTTGGGATGCCCACTTCCTGATGTCCCAGCCCCGCAGGGACTCGCCCTGAGGGGACCCTTCTCTGGACCCCCAGGAGGTGGCGAGCATGGACTTCTGTTCCTTCTGAGTCTCCTGGGAGCCATAGCTTCATCCAGAACCACCCCTGGACCCCAGTACTCTCCCCTCCCTCAGGTACCCTGCCCAGGGCCCCTGGAGTCCAGCATCCTCAGCCCTGTCCACCTGCTTCTCCCACCCTGCCCATCTTCCAAAAGCAGTGGTCTCAGCTTCCTGCCCTAGACTTGGCCTGGCCCTCTTACTCCACCCACAGGGCCGAGGCCATGCCCACCTTCCAGCCTGACCTCCTGCCTCTGAGGAGGCCCAACAGGGCCCTGAGGGTGGTATCGGGACGCATAGTCCAGCTCCTTCCCTTTCTACTTGGGTTCCGAAGGCAAGTTACAAAACCAGCCGTGCCTCTGTTTCCCCATCTGTTTTATGGGGTAATGCTAACGCCCACTCAGAGGGCTGCAAGAGGCGCGAGTGTGTAGGAAAACCCTCTCAGCTTTGCCTACAGGAACCCAGGGCCTGAGCCCTTCACGGTTGGGGTCCCCGGCAACTTCCGGTCCTTATCTTCCTCCGGGAACCGGACCACAGCCGCCAGCCCCTCAAAGCTGAAGATTCTGTAAACAGGAGGTCCCTACTCCAGGCGAAGTCCAGGGCGGGGCTGCCAAACCGCCCCGCCCCCCGCAGCTGCACGCCCCCTTCATGGCCAGGTCCCGTCCCCGGGGGCGGGGCCCAGGGCATGCAGTGGAGCCGGGTTCGCCGGGGCAGTGTTTTCATGCCGACACTGATGGTGCGCCGGCTCCACACAGCCCGGAAACAATGGGAAATGGGCCAGACTTGGTGGGAGGCGGGGGAAGAGCTTAGGGGGCTACGTTGGCCGCAGGGTCTCAGGCTGGGGGGAGGCACCTGAGAGACAAAAGAGGTTCAAGAGGGCAGGGCACGCGGCCAGACAGAGCTAAGGCAGTCCCAGAAAGGGGGTAGTTTGGGGGGCTGGCACGCGCTCAGGATCGCGCAGGACCAGGGCAGCACTCTCGCCCTGTGTGGGGAAGAGGGGGCAGCACCACAAGGAGCCTTCTGGAAGCCCAGGCCCAGGACGATGGCTCCCAATGCGGGGAGGGCAGGGGTACACAGGGGGTG